GGGCCCAGGCGCCGGCCCGGCCCCGGGGGCTGCGCTGCGCGGGGAGGGGGCCGGGCGCCCGCGGCCGGGCGCAGGCCGGAGGCTTCCCCCAGCCCGGGAATGGTCTGCCCTGTAGGAAACGCACACGCTCCACTATTGTCTCATCAGCACAAAGTTCTGCCACACTGCGGGGAAAGTCTGGAGGCTGCAATGACTCAGACACGGATAATTCCTCCCCTAATAGCCCTGAATCAGGATTCCGGCGGCCGGTGGTCGCCCCTTCTTCCCAGGGTCTGGGGCTGCCGCAGCTGCGGGTCCCGGAGGCTGTTTACGCGCGCACACACACGCATCCCTACGTGCAGACGTGCTCGGGATGCAGGTCCAGCCGTCGCAGGCACCTGGGCACTGAGCCTCGAATCAGGATTCGAATGTGGATGCCCCTCCGGGAGTCCCGGATGCGTGTGCATTAACGGGGCGTGGCGTGTGCGTTTCACTCAACTTCCTGGTCCACGTCCCTGGGGGTGTTCAGACAGTGGCAAGACCTTAAGTCCTGGACCAGGGATCAAAAGGGTCCCCCTCGAAAGACTTCAGAACAGCGAGCCTACCATATGGCCGTTTACAAATGAATGTTGTTGTTGTTTACTTGTGTCCTTCCAAGTTCAACTCTTACGTTTCTGTTCTCAAAACTTCATTTCTTCACCTCAACTACTCCCTGCGGGCAGCAGTTAGTTGCAATAAATCGAGTCTAGGAATAGAAATCCTAATTTGACTCCAAAACGCTTTCGGGGTCCGTGGCAGGGAGGGGCTGGGGAGGGGAGGGGAGGGACGAGGAGTTAGAGCCCGAGGAGGAGGAGGGAGACGAGGAGGGGAGGAGGAGGAGGGGAGGAGGGAGACGAGGAGGGGAGGAGGGGGCGGGGCAGGCCGCAGCGAGCGGGCGAGCGCCCCGGACTGGGCGGTGACGTAGGCCGGGCGCTGGGCTGCGGAGGGGCGTACTCTGCCCCCACCAGGCTCCTGGCCATATTGTTCTCCTCTGCGCGTGATAACTGCGCAGCGGAGGCGGACTCCGTCCAACGCCCGGCCCGG